TAAGCTACACATGTTTTAAAATGTAAACTTAATCTAAACAAATGTTGAAATTAAAGAAATACATAACAACAAATTTGTTACAGTATGGCATATTGGATCCCATCATTCTGGGTTTGGAGTGTTGCCTTTTGGACTTCTTTAGGTTGAAGAGAAGGTTTGTACACTTTGAAATTGCCTTCTTTCTCGTGGTGGCTCAGAATGCATCACTCTGTGACTACAGGTTGGGATCCACTCACAAGAATATATATATATATATTGTGGTTCAATTGCCCTATCCACCAGTGTGGGATATAGGAACCATGGCCCTATAATTCTAACCCTGAGCTATCTGGTTGGGGCCTGTCCAGTAGTGATGATAGATCATGTAAAATTCCACCCATAGTACATGAATTAAGTTCCGGGTGAGGAGCATATCTGTTCTGGATGTAGTGCGGTTCCCCCACTAGGGTGCTAATTTTCTATTGGCACACCTTTGATCTATGCAAATGCTTTCTATATGGATAATGCCCTCACTGGTCCCTCCACCTTATCAATGTGAGATTCTAGCTGTAAGTATGAGAGGAGGTAAGTATGTTTTGGAAGTTAACATTTTCTTAAATTTAAAATGTGTTTCCAATAATACTTATCTGTCTTTTACCCTCTCCCACCCTTCCTCCCCTCTAAAAGCTGGTGTTAGAGACTGTGGACTGGGTCAGTCTCTAAAAAGTGATAATATTATCTGAATGAGGTGTTATATACAGTACCAGGATAGAGGGTACATTAACAAAGGTGGAGAGTGTCTTGTGACAAATATTGCCAAAGGGCAATTAAGTGGAGAATAAAAGACTGGAGAAAGCGAGAAAAATTTAGACCTGAGTTTAGATGGGGAAAGGAAGGAAACCCTAGCAGTCGAGTAATAGCTGTAGTTTGAGTAGAGGTAAGTATTATTGGAAATACATTTTTCATTTACGAAAATGTTATCCTCTGGATCAACATAGATTACATACTCAGCATTTACAAAATCATTAAAAGCTGGTTTTACTTGATTTTATGCTATGAAAGAAGGTGTTTTGAGTGTATTTAAGAGTAAAGAAGTGTTTTTAAGTGGACACTCACATTTTGCATTGTTTTGTTTTAGTAAAACTTGCTCAAAACTAAATAGAAAAGCTACAAAAAGATGAGGTGTAAGTTTTGTAAAGTTTTTAGATAGTAAGTATGCTTTGCAGTGCAATACAAAAATTATTGTTGTGTTCTTATTTAGTAGTTGATAACGTGTAATGCAAATATTAAAGGATTCACTTTGGTCTTCATTTAACAGATAATGTCCATCTTTGCTTTTGCGACCACTGCAGGTTTCAGTACTTACACATCTTTTAAGATCGATTGTTCGGCTGGGAAAATCAGTGAAGTGATTTTTAACTTTGGTTATCCATTCAAGTAAGAGTCTAACTTGGTTTATTTTATGAGTATATTTTGTTTATACATCAGTGTTACTAACGGTATTTACCAATGTAGTCATCTGTGATAAAATTTAGTACTGAACAATTAAAGGTGTTACATAATGACAGTAACTAAAAGAGAACATTTCAGCTCACAAAATAAAAAATAGAAAAAAATTGTACTTGAACAACTGCAAGTAAACTAAGGTTGTATAACAAAATATTAGCATAATTAATCAGTTAATGCAACATTACACAACTAAGTAAACAGATAAAATAGAGGTAGAAGTAGTTATGTTCAGTATATACATATATAGTGTTATACATAATTCAGTAAATTAAAACCTTTTCTTTCTATTGGTCATAAATAATTTGATAGTAAATGTCAGAGAGAATTTTTGGAAATTTTTTTGAAAAATGGTATATGACTTTTACTTGGTTTCTATATCTATAAATCAAGTTGATTGTAGGCTATAATATATAAATAAATAAATAAACATTTAGTTTATAAGTCTTACAATTACAATCTTAGGCAAGAATCATTCTATTGGAAGGAAATTGTTTCAAAAATTTTGTTCAGACAAGGAAGTAAGTACTTATTTAATCATGAGGTAATGGAGAAGTTCTTTAGCATTCCTTTATTTCAGTGATGGATTCTGACAGGATTGGGTGTCCATTAATAAAGGTTAAGTGTTCATGTAGGTACTTAAGCATTGAATTACCTGAAATGGGTTCATGTTCCTCACGTGGTGGTACATTCATGATGTTAGAAAAACATGTAGGTTCAAGAAGTCTTGATAGGAATGAATAAAAACCCTATAACCCGACTGTTCTATTTTTCACTGTTCTATTTTAATATTAAATGTCCTATTTCAGTGTTCAAATTCTGCATTTAACGTTACGCAGAAATCGATAATATATTGGGATATTTTGCCACCATGAGGTATGAATTATGTGTTAAATCACACACTAATAAACTTGTTATATAATAATGTGTTTTTCATGGATTAAGAAATAAGTACTCACAAGTAAAAGTGATACTATGAGTCTCTCTCGCTTTTTTAAAAGTGTATTAATTTATAATTTGATGCATATTTTAACAATGGTGTCTACCTGTTAACAAGTGTAACAGAAGTACACTAAAAAAAAAGTCCTGCTTGTTAATTTTGTTTTTTTTGTTGGTCAAGAAATGTAATAACTTTTACCTTATTTTATTATAGGCTGAACCAGATACCTATAAAAGTAGTTCAATGTGATGATAAAACTGTGGTGGCAGATTTACCATGGGACTTTTCAAGCAGTGCAGAATTCTTTGTGGCAGTAGGTGTGCTCACCTTCTTGCTCACTCTATTAGCTCTCGGGATCTATATTTGTTCAATTTCATTCTACACTAGTAATCAAATGGTTCCCGTTTGTGTAAGTTTGTGGAAATATAGTTTGTGTGTTTTTTTATTTATTCACTGAGATGTGGAATATGTGTATAATCCAGAATAAAATATAATGTTAAAAAGTTTTAATTTGGAACAATGGCTTTGGTCATATAAACAAAAAACATCCACTGAGATTGAGGAATGGAAAATAAAAAAAAAAAATCTCAAAAGGTTCCAAAAATATAGAGAAAATATCATGTTTTAGTCGACCACTTTTTTACTCTTCATACATGTTATTACTTTAATTTGTTTACACCTATTTTGATGATGCTACATTCTTGTGTATCATATATTTTGCTGATTGAATCTTTCTCATCACTTACGCTGCATGATGAGAGACATAATATTCTATGAAACACTATTTATATATGCAATATAATTCTTTAAAAATTGTGGTTTAAATGTTGAAGTCTACAAAATATTGGGAAAACCAATAGGCCTAAAAATTATTATAACAAGTTAACTGCAGATGTTTTGTTATAGAAGGAAAGGCTTATTGCAATGTTGGGTCCTTAAGTGTTATATCTATAACTACACAGTTACTCAAGCACTTTGTAACAAACCTAGGGAAATGAACAGTCATAACTCATTTGAAAACTTATGGTTTAAAGCAGAAAGCTGGATACATATTGTAAAATCAACAGGCCTAAAAACTGTTGTAAAAAAAAAATCTACAGATTTTTGTCTACACAGTGCTCTTAATTTGTCCATCATTACTTAAAGTTAGAAGTGTGTAAAAAATACCACTTCAGATCTATCTTTTGTCTCCCATAAGTCACTTCTTTGTAAACACTTACAAACATTATAAAACAATACTGAATTGTATGGAATAACAAATCTGTAAATGTGTGTACAGTATTGTTACAACAGATGATTGATAAGGGAATAAGTCTTTTTATTGTTTCTAAATGTTATATAATGCAGTTGCATTCTGTGTATGATAAATGTTCACTTACAAAACATAGGCTTTCTGTAGATAGTGTTTCCTCTTGCTTTTTGTACTTTTTGCTACTTCGTAAAAACCTTTTGAAACATACATTTTAAAGTCTATTTTAAACTATATTTCGACAATTTTAACTCAGAAATATTTTAGATTTGATATTTTGTCATTTTTTAAACATTTTTTTGGTGTAATTCAGGAATAATAAAAAAAATTAATATTTTCATTTCAGCACTGCTGCAGAATTTCATCTGTAAAAAAAAAAACACTGTTGATTTGTTTTAGAATTTTTAGAATATCTATTTGTGCTAAGAACATATCATCCCTTGAGAATATATTATAACTTTCTTCCCATAGCTTTCATACAGGCCTTGGTTCAAACCTTGTTATGCTGCCACATCAAGTAGTTTAAAGATTTACTAACAAAATGCTGCTTTGAAAACAGCAACAAAGAATGTTTAAATTGATTGGATAGAGCAAGAATTAGACTGTCATGTAAAAATAGAATAAATATATAAGTTTAAATTATATCTTTTTGAAAGCTACAGAAATTTTATTCAATGAGAAGACATCAGATAAATTGAGATAAGATATGCTTATACTGTTTGCAGACAGATTAAATGGGTAACAAAGAAAACTTTATTACAAGTTTAACACAATAACAATTGTACAACATTTGGAGGTTTTGTCACCACCAGGTACAAGTAGTTTACCTAGACACAGGAATATATATATATATATATACAATGTGAAACAAAGAAATCGTATGACTGGAGATTGCTTAAGGCTTAATAAAGTTATCTTGTTGATGTTTAATTCTTTGTTTAAATATGGTATTTTTACTTTTAATAGCTATACTATGATCTTATTGAGTTGCAGTGTTTGTAAACATGAGATATTTTTTTATTAAGTTCACAAAGTAAAATTATCGCCAGATCAGATAAGTTTAGTTAAATTTACTGTTTAGTGAGTGTGATAGGCTAAATATTCTGATGACTCAAATCTTTACTGACTAATTTTTTAATGTTTGTCCTATTCCAACAATATACATAAATAAAATAACTAACTTATTTGTAACTGTAATTGGGATGTATTTTAAATATAACCATTATTAACCTTATTGGTGATAATAAGATACATTTTTATTATTTCATTATCAGTTTATTTGAATTACATAAAATAAGTGGGGGATTACTACATATTTGTATTTTGAGAACCATGTGTGGTATGTTGTCAGTATTAGCAATTCATTTGTCAAATAGGAAATGTCTAGATTATCTTTAAAAACATTTGTGGCAAAATATATTTTTTGATAGAGATATGTTTTTTGCAAAAATGATTTTCAAAAGAGGTTTATCATATGAAACTATTTGAAAATTATAAAGAAAACCAAAAATAAGATTGGAAGATTACTACCACGTTAGAGTAAAGAAATGTTTGGGTATACCCACTTTTGTTTTATTGTACAGGGGTGGGGGTTGGAGAGGGCATGTATTAGTTGATTATTGAGACTGTCATTTGACTAGCAAGTACCATAAAATACCCAGTTCTAATACTGATTGAAAATGTAGATAGCTTTTAGAAAAAATAACCTGATGTGGTTCAGAAGAAGTCTGAAAGTGTTTAACAATTAAATGTTTTCTACTGAAGCTGATAAACAAAATAAATGAATTGTAGGTTTATGGTTCACATGGGGCTATGGGTGTGTTATAAGAGTGACAATCAAATCCCACTCTTCAGTCTAACAAGTGTAGTCCATGTGTTGGCAGTGGATGTTGTTGGCTACCTGCCTTCCCTCTAGTCCGTAATTTCAATAACCCTTTGTGTTGCTTTGCAGAAATGTTTGAAACAAACAAACAATCATAAAGAAATATAAGAATTAAGTAAATATTTTTGAAATAACAGACTTGAAACTTGTCAAAATAGTACAGTATACTTCATTTTCATTTTGACATTATTTGTTTTCACCAGACTGGCATTTTGGAGCTGATGGTATTATTCTTCAGTGAAGGTATTTAAGTCAAAAAATTTCCTTTACGGGTTATTTAGTATATATATATATATATATTTATATTTAAATTGTTACAACACATTTGGTCACTAGAAACTACAATTTTCATATCACATATTTTCTTGCAAAAAGTTAACAGGTTTTCACCAGGGTGCAGTAGGGTTTATGTAAACAAACCAATTTTGCAGTAACTACTTAATACAGGCACAAGCATATGTAAGTGAGATAAGTATAAAACATTAAGCTGATGGCTTGGGTCTATTTATTAAAAGAACTTGATAATATAAATGTGTAGCAGATACTGTAATTCTGAAAATGTAAAGTTTTGTGTCAAAATTCTGAAACAGGTAAATTATCTATAAATTGTTAAACATCATCTACTCTTTAAAACTGAATAGAATTTGAAATAAAGAACTTGCTGAGCATAAAAATGAATGGTTTGATATATATATATATATTTGTGTATCCCACCCCCCTCATACATACACCTATGTATATAAACAAAAGTCAATGAAAGGCTTGAAAGAGTTGTTTAATTTTTGGAAAAGGCCAGTTTTTTGTAATGTTTGCAACTTACAGTACCTTTGTTAAGATATTTTTTAAAGACTGGTAGTGTATTTGGCAATGGGCCTGTATTTAGGGTGATGCACTATGAATCCAATGGTGAAATTGAAACTTTGTTTGGAAATTATTATTGTTTAATCCCGGGCACTGGCATGGCCAAGTGGTTAGGGCGCTCATCTCACAATCTTCGGGTCGCGGGCTTGATTTCCCGTCCCACCAAACATGCTCACTCTTTCAGCCATGGGGGCATTATAATGTAATGGTCAATCCCACTATTCGTTGGTAAAAAGAGTAGCCCAAGAGTTGGTCGTGGGTGGTAATGACTAGCTGCCTTCCCTCTAGTCTTACACTGCTAAATTAGGGACGACTAGTGCAGATAGCCCTCGTGTAGCTTTGCGCAAAACTTAAAACAAACAAACAAATTACTTAATCCTTTGTGCATGGGCAGGAGTCAGTGTGCACATGCAACAACCTTTTACAGAGTGCCATTCAACATGGTATTAAGTATCTGATGTCAGAGTTATACATAATCATTTTATTTTACATTACTGATTTAGTGATAGAGAAAAGTCAATACCAGATACAATATACAGAGATACTGAAAAATACTGTAGATACGCATTTTAGAGGTTATGTAAATGTAATACACAAACATCACTTTGCACTTCAATTTGTGATAGTCTGAGTCAGACTTGTGTCACTTCACAACATATCTTCAGCACAGATATGTTTGTAACACTTTTTTTGTACAGACTTGTACTAGAAGCTTGCAACCTTTTGTGTAGGTACACAGAGTAAATTTGGAATTATAACAAACATTCCTTTTCCAACATGGGGTTGGTTCAGTGAATCAAGTTTAGTTAATAGTTAAACTGACTTAATGTTTCAGTTATGTTGGACCACCAAAAACACAGGAACTTTTCTTATGTACTGATCTTTATGGGACTTGTATGTTGAGAAACAGTACTTTATGTTTGATATAATCTACATTTTTCATGATTAGGCAAAATATTAAGTGTATTTTCTAATCACAGTCTTTTCATTGGATGGCTGTTTTATGCAACTATCACCGTTAATATGGAATAAAAAATGCATTTTCAAAATTTGAGAAATGTATGAGAAAATACTTAATGACTGTTTTGGCAGAAAGTTCCAAGAAAATGAGAGATAGAAACAATGATCTGTAAGACAGTAACAAAGATTTTGTAGCAATACTTGAGAATTTTATTACTGACTGCTTCTGACCGATCGACCTCCTGTTTGCATTTTTAAATTAGTTACCTAGCCCTTAAATATGTCACATAAGGTGCCATTCTGGTAGATCATATTAAAATATGAAATTTATCATGTTAGACAAGTAATTAGGTTATGATGGATCGCTTTGTGACTATTTCTTTAACCCTTTTCAGCCCAGTATCTCAGGTTTTTACAGGGGCAAAATAATGTGTGATGTACCTTCCTGAAGTTACCTTCAAAAGAAAATTATAACTGAAATATTGAGATTTTAAATTTTCTTTTAATTTAAACTTATTAAGTTATATAGTGGTTTTTATTGTATTATAAATCATAAATTGACCCCAAAAAATCAAATTGGTATTTCAAAAGGTCCTATATTTATTATACTATTTATTTGAATTGTCTGTGTTTCAGATATGGTGATTCTCATGAATTGTTAATTTTTATTAAAGCAAGGTGAGATGTGGTGTTATACCTGTCAACAGGCTTTCGGGTGTTAAAGTTTGTAATTTTTAGTTCAGGAAATAAGACATAGCTGAAGCTTAAAGTTAGATACATTTTACTCCATTTTAGTATACTTAATTTTGGAGAAAATTATTAACAAATCCACAAAATAAAACCTGCACTTGATATTCATTTTATCATAGGAATTTCTCTATGGGTCATTATCATTTACAGGAAATGATCAGAAGTACATGAACAAAATGAACATTGCAGATGATTGCATGTCAAGAACTATCATTATTGAATAAGCATACATATAAAGAAGATATTTACTGATTATTTACGGCACTGAAAATTTGCATAGTTTCCATCTTCTATTGTAATTTATTGTATCAGCCTAAATGTGAATTTATATCCTTTGTGTCAAATCTGTTAGAGAATGTGTGGGCCATGTTTTATGTTTTACTTCCTACTTAAAGTAACTGATATTTTGTTTAACTTTCAGGATCTGGCTTCATCTGTTCTCCTGACTATATTATGGCTCTCAGCTGCTAGTGCCTGGGCACATGAAGTTAGCAATGTGAAGTACTATGCAACTCCTGACAATTTTTTTGACCAAATCACTGAATGTAGTAAGCAACACTGTGTAAAGACCTACACTGGAAACTATGCATCTCTTAACGTCTCCTTGGTAACTTTATTCTCATGATCGCTTGTGAAATAGAGTAGGATATTATTATGATTAAGAAGCTGGATTTCAGGCTATTCCTCTAAAAAAAAGTTTGTTCTCAACTAAATACTTTCCATTGGTACAATAGCCAAATTTCTAAATGTGGTTTTGTAACATGAAGTTCATGATGAATTTTCTCCAATCCTTGCTAAATTCACCAGTGCATTCATAAAACTTATATACACATATATTGACAGATTAGATTTATGGACTATATAACTTGAAGAACTGAGCTAGGACTTAAAATATATATATATTATGCAATATATCATTGCCTGATTGGAAAATGGAATATAGTTCTATATATAAAGATGTTTTATAAACCCATCTGAACCTTGTGTACAGAGAGTACAAACAATATGCAAAGAAAGCATACTGAAATTTTGAATGAAACATTTTTAATAAAAGTATTAGCAGTTTTAATACAAATATTTTATTCTTAGTATGTTAAGACATAAAAATAAGATTTTCTTTTTCACATTGTTTTTTATTTATTTTAAAAACTTCCAATCACAATTCCATAAACTAAACTCAAGTACGTAGTTTGTGAGACTTGAGGGATTATTTCAGACTTAACACAAATTATAGTGTAAGAAAAACAATTTTTTTTAATACGAGTTATAAAAGTTTCAACTTGTTATTCTATGAGCACTGAGAAGAATGTTATCTTTATAATTATGGGCAAGAAATATAAGTAGGCCTATAGACCGAGTGTGATGCTTTGCACAAGGATTACCTGTATATGGACAAACTAAAATACAAAAAATTATGTTTATCAGATCAAATCAACTTTATATAAAATGTGTTTATTAGTTACATAGGAAAGACTTCTGGTTTTGTTATGTCAACAGTTTGTATGTTCATGTTGTAATTACCATGTGTACTGTTAGTGTTGCCTTAAAACTGTTTTGTAGAAGATGACTTTAAGTTCTGAAGATATACAAATATTAATTTCAAGATGATAGTGTACACAAGATCATGCACTTCACACATAATGCACAACTCTATAAACAATAATTATATACAATACAGAAATCTGAATAATTAATTGAAAATTTACAAACAGCAACTTTTAGAGTAGGTGAGTTCTAACTGTAATAATTACGACGTTTTGATCCATAGTATTGGGTCATCATCAGTTAAGAGTTGCATTCAAAGAGGCAGTTGAACTGCCTTTTGGACAATTGCAATTCAACTGCCTTTTTGAATATAACTTACCTGATGATTACCTGATATTATGGGTCAAATTGCCTACTTGTACAGTTTTGGAAGTATTTATGGAAATGTGCAGGGGATACGCATACAGGAGTCACAAACGATGATTAATTGCAACTAAATAGTATATTTATCATTTTTAAAATGCAAGGTTCTATTGTCCACTTATTTTTTTTCAAGGTCTTGTTTCACCACATTGTCTTACTTAAAGATAAATACCTGCCATTTAGGTATTGTTTGTGAGGGAATGACATGATGGATAAGAATCTGCTTGTACTTGCCAACAATTGTGGTGTTATGAATGTTGTGTAGATTTCCTACATCACATGTGTATCGGTCCCCCAGCTTGCTTTGCTGTAGATGTTGTACACTGACCATAGTGTGTTATCCTTTCTGTTATTAAATAAGCTTCTGTTGATTTTTGCCAAACTATTTGAATTTGGAGTCATCTGGAAAGAGCACACTCCTCCAGCTTTCCTTATCCCATTTTTATAGGCTGATACCTATTTCATTCTTTTGGTCTGATTATCTCTTTCTTAAGCACCAGTGTAGCCACTGAGGCCACATCATCCTAATATGTATCTTACTGTTTTGGAGGTAACATTTACTGATATAATTACAGCCATGCCATTAGCAAGATCTCCACTGGACTGTTATGAGTTAGTTAACATTGCTTTTGGAGAGTTTGAGCCTTCTACCTTGACCATGTCTATTATTAACAATACTAGTTTTATTTACTTTTCTTAAAAGTTTCCGTACAGCTCCTACCGAGAAATTAAATTTAGCCTTAATCTCTTGTATGGAGTAGCATTTACCAGCCCATACTTTGATTTCTAAATGTAGGGCATGTGATTTTTCTGTCTTGGGAGCCCTGAGTACATTCACCACAGTACTTCTGAGAATAGTAAAACTTCTTGTACTTTTATATGCATTATTCTAATGTGGCACTGTCTGACTGGTTAATTGACGGCTGATCACAGTGTAAACTATCAGTACATGAATTGCAGCTCATTTTCATACAACAGAAATCCTATAAAACTTGCATTTTATACCTCTTTCATTCACTTTTTTCCTAATTATTTTCAGTACTGTGTCTACATAAAATTCTTCAATGTCCAGTAGAAATTTTAGTCGAATTTTTCAATTTATTTGTAAAATTGCATTAAGTTATAAGTTTTTACGTACGTTAGTAAAATCTAAGCTTATTTTCTATTATTTAAGTTGAAGAGAATAGTTTTATATCAGAAGCTACTCATATCTATATATACAGTTTTAGTACTTCTATAGAAAATATGTTTCTCATTTTTAGAGGTGTCACTGACTAAACATACAGTGTGATTATAGTTTCGATTATTCATGAATAGCATCTAGCATTTAAAATTATTAAGTTTTTATTTCCATATAACCATACAGCTTATGCAAAATTACTGTCAATTATCGTAAAGTGAAAGTAAAACTTAAACTGTGTATGGGAATATATTCTTGTGTCTTTTAGTATGACTGGCTTTGAGGTAAAGAAAAGATTAAATTTTATATTTTGTGTTTACGACTTTTTTTTTCATATGTCAGATCTTTGGATTTGGAAACTTCCTACTTTGGGCTGCAAGCCTTTGGTTTGTTTTTAAGGAAACAAAATTCCATCAAGAGACTAATCAACAGGAGCACCAACAGCAGCACCAACAACCACCACTGTACTCTTCATAATCTCCTCCAGTGATGGGTTAAACACACTGAAATGATTTGTGTGGCTATATCAGTTGTACTTCACTTTTCACTGTGGCGTGATGAAATGGGTTGCACTGCTAGTATCTGGATCTATTGGTAAATAATCTTTACAGTTTGACAACTGCAGAAGCTAGATTATTTACCAGGAGAGTAGTTGAAGTTTTTGTTCATGGTTTTAAGATGTTTGTCGTAATATTGAAAGATTGAACAACAAATGTTCTAAAAGAGTTATCTCATAAATTTTTGGCTACCATTTTTTTCATTGTTAAAACTAAACGTAATTATATACTTTTATGTATGATTAAGCTGTTTATATAAATATAAGGTGGTTCTTTTATACTTCAAATATGTAGTCTGTGTAATTAACATATATGTTAACAGATCTCAATTGTTTTATGACTGAAATCACCACATGGTTGTTAGTGCTATTAGTGGATAGGTTAACTACGTTTAGCATACAAGATTGAAAATAATGTTATTCCTCTGTTATTTCAGATGTTTTAAATGTTGTGTGTTCTAAATGATCTTTTTATTTCAAGCATTTGAACATTTTATTAATACTTAGTAGAACTGTTATGTTATAGTGACATTCTTAAAGTTAATATCATAAACTTGCTACTTCCATACTTGCCACAAAATTTGAAGATTTTTATTATTTAAGTAATAAAAGATACCGTTTAGTTTTAATTTAATTTTCTCAATATAAAGTACATAAAAATATTTCTAATTGTTTTGTATTTGTTGCCCTTTTTCTTATCCTTTAAATATTGTCCTCTGGTGACTCATAAAAGTTTATACTGCCAGAATTTGGGGCTCAATCCCCATGTCAGACACCATGCAGATATCCATTGTGTATTTTTGTACTAAAACAAAACAAATCCTTTAAATTCTATTACCATAAAATTAAATCACCAAGTAACTGTTTTATTTAAAGTGATATTTTGTAGTGTGTGTTCTCCTTTATTGTTGAATATGTGACTGTGATCAAATTGTTCAGTCAGTAATTCATTTAGGCCCAGAAGTTTGGTATGTGCCTTTCTCTTTACTACACGGTATTTTTCATGGATTTTAACTATCCAGTAAATGTTAGCAAACTAGCCTTAAGCCTGTGCCAGTATAAAACTATTAAATGTTGTACCATATATTGGATAACTAAACCATGTAAAAAGCATTTTTGTGAAATCAGTGTTTCCTAGATTTAACAGTTTTTGAAAATATAGCCAAAGTGCTGAAATGCTTTTTTAGTCAAGCAGATATAAGTAGAGCAATAAAGTTGTATAATTCAAAGCTTACTATTTGATATGATTGGTATTTTAGTTTCTCTACTTTAGTGCCTTATGTATAATTATGCTCTACAGTTATTGAAAGAATTGTAATAAGATACTTCATTAGTAGTGGAAAGTACTTTTTGTAATTTTTTTAACACTGCATGCTAATATTTTGAATGCAACATATAAGAACAAATATTTTAACTACCAAAGGAATTATCTATTTTAGAAAATAATTTCAAGTGCCATAGTTAAGAGTTGATCCACTTACTTTTTATAGATTTGCATTTTACACTTGAAGGAATGTAGTGTTTTTTGATAAATATTCATTTTTTATCTCCTCTTTGACCACACAGTTGAAAGTGGTATTCTAGTCTCAGAGTTGCGTGTGTTTAAATTTTGTATATTGCTGTTATATATACTATATATTACAAGTTAAGACTTCAGTCGCGTTAGTTAGTCTTAGCAAATGAAACTAAGTAAGAAAAATAATATTTATAAATATTA